ATTTTGCGGAACACTCCAAAACTAATTATTACAAAGTTATGCTCCTTAAATTAGATCAGCGCAATTTATTGCTGCAGGTTTTCACCCTGTAACCAGACGCGTGTGAGATCTCTGCCTCGGATTTGTTACGCCTTAACTACTGCACACTCTCAACAGATCGAAGACATGTTACGATTAACCTTTCAAACCCTTGACTGTTAATGTTCACCAGTCGACCAATGGATTGGGAAAAGTTTAGTTTCTTCTAATAATTCTAATTTTCAAAGTTGGACGTCAACTGTAGGTGAAAACAACAGACTGCTGCAGTAATTGCTTGAAATAGAAGACCTAACTGCACCACAGTGACAACTGTCTGTAGTACCGAGGGTACCGGTTGTGCTTTAAACCCCAAATAAACGAACCATCGCTTTACATTAAAGAATTGCAATAATATACATTTACACGAGAAGGCTGCTGAAGAATTGGACACACACAAAAAAAGCTTCCCATCTTTAAATAAGCTAATTTGGGGTTAATTATGCAATAAGGATCACTGTCTTTGCATCTGTTTACAAGGCATGTTTGCTTGCAGGACCATCGCCCCCGAAAATTGTCTGTGTGCGATAAAATCGAAATGGATATCGTTTGGTGGAATTGCCGGCTTAAAGAGCCGAAAAGATATTTTATTTCTTAATGCTTTGTTGTAATATAGTCTAAAGACAAACCCTCGCTGGTGGACCCTTTGCTAGACTCCCCTCCCCCCCCCCACTTCTTCTACCAATGTATACAATGCTGAAAGTAATGGTCTACATATAGCTGACACAAAAGACATAACAGTGTTTACAATATATCCTCAATTTTTCATTTTAAAACAAATAATAAGCGTTCTGACAAATATTGCCAATAAAGCATATAACTCCTTGGCCAGTTCGCCTGAAATTAAAATATAGGCCTACAGAATAAATAAAAAGAAAGTTGCGCTTATAGGTTATTCAAAAAGTGCCGTCATTGTTTTTACACAGTATACAGTATATGGACTTACATTATACAGGCTATGTAACGTCCATAATTGTTCATCTCAGAATCTAACATTTGTATGCAAGTCCAAAAAAATGAAAGGAAAAAAAAAGGTAAAAACATGAGACGGGGAAATGTGTGCATTTTTTTTCTTTTTTTTTTCTTTTTTTTAAACATTGACCTACTTTAACAAGATGAATACACAAGAACAAAAGTGTGAAGTGGTAGTCATCCGCTCTGCAGGACTAAGTACCAAACAACAGCAGGGTGTCTTACGCCCACGCTTTACCCCGCTGGTCGATGTTGATGAAGATGGCATAAAAGAGTTTGTTTTAATTATTATTATATATTATTATGTGGTTGCTTTCTAATTGGCCTGTCTCCGTGTCTCTGTCGCTGTGTGTAACAGCACAGAGAAGTAGTCCAATCTACTTGAAGCAGTGAGCACTCTCCAGGACTGGGGCATGCCTCTCAGTGGTAGTTTACTCATTCGTTGTTCATTTCAGTCCGTTTTGCTTCATGGCTCAAGTCTGTGACACCATCTTCTAGTCTCTAGACTGTCCACGGAGGACATCACATCACGCAGGGCTTAATGTCCTGGTAGGAGACCTGTTGGTGGTGATAGTAGGAGCCGCTGCTCGGTGAGTGCATGGCTGAGGAAGTCATGGCGTTGAACGAGAAGACGAACTCCTTTCGGTCACACATGCTGGGAGACTGGGAATGGTACCGAGGAATACCTGCAAAAAAGCATTTAAAACATGAATGGAAATGCTACTAATAATAATAATTTTAAAGGGTCACTTTTAAATGTAATGTACTTGAAGGCTAGTAACCTATGTTACCTTATGTTCCCCCAGTTAAGAAAAATGTTGTTTATAGTTCTGAAATAAAAAGTTATTTAAATGCTTACAAGTTATTTGCAACACGATTTGATTGGTAATCTTGCTGATACTAGAATTATCCAGTTCTACAGACCTTCGCTATGCGTTCTGGAAACCCTAATAATAAAACTGTTATATGTGGTGATAATAATAATAATAATAATAATAATAATAATAATAATAATAATAATATGCTCTATATCTACCATATTTTACCGCAAAAAGATTGCTGTATGTGTAGGCACTTTATATTCTGTGTAAGAAAGAAGTTTATATTTGTAAATTGAGCTTCACTCTATTATACTAACTGAAATGCATGCATTCCTCTTAGGGCCAGAGTCCATTTAGTAAACCCGATAAAGATTGTCAAAAGGGGAGGCGGGCTTGCAGGGCTAATTGACAGTGGCCCCTTTGCACGCCAGTCCCGGAGGACCGAGAGCCTCGAGGCAAGGCAGGCTGGACCTAACCGCGCTTGTTTTTTTAGTTTTTTTGTCCACAGATTGGCGTGACTCTAAACTCTCCCGGTAGACTCTTTCAACCATCTCTTGATTTATTATTTTTTAATACCACACGTTCAGGAGGTTTGAACCCCTCTGGTCTTCTGTCTGGGTTTTATTTTATTAAACCTGATTTATTATGTTTAATGATTCACAAAATACTGGAACTTTATTTACGAAAAAAGTGGTTAAGTTGTGTTGTATCATTTCCTTAATAGCCTTAATTCCAATCCCTCAATTATGCACAGCACAGATAAGCCTTATGTTTACTGACTGCAGAATAAATCCGGCGCATTTCAGTGTGATGCTCTTCAGAATTACTCAACATTTCCACTAGGCCCAAGTTTGGCGCATGATATGTGAAATAAAATTCTGTAAACCACAGACATATGTGGACAGTATATCATCTCTGTCTCTATCCTCTAATAACCAAAGCGTCTTAATTTGAATAAAATCTTTCGTTTCCTTTATCTTTGTCATAGCTCGCAAATGTTCTTTATATCATCAGGCCCGGCTTCTCTGAACCTTTTGCGCTTTTTTTTTAAATTAGAAAATTAAATATATATATATATATATACACACACACACACACACACACATATATAAACTTACCTTGTAAATCTGTGGTGCTGTGGCCATTCTGGTGCAGGTATGGTTGGTCTAGTGAATGTGTGGGCAAACTTGGCTGCAGTGGGTTCGCTCCTGGATTACAGGGGGACAGAGGCTGCTGCTTGATGTAGGAAGCCCCGTTATTCAATGAGGCCGAAGGGGCTGGAGCCCACGCAGAGGCTGAACTCGAGTATACGGGATGAGGCTCCATGACTCCTCCGCTGGTGAGCAGAGGGGAGGCGGAATTGTCGTGGTGGGGATAATCACTCCCAGTGGATCCTGTACAACTTCCCATGTAGGAATGTCCACTGTTGGTCGACAAGTGTGACATGGAGTGTCCGGACAGACCCATCCCTTCCATGTTACCTGCCAAGTGTCCATTCATCATCCCAATCCCACTGTCCAGAGACAAACTGTTGGGCGGACAGGAAAGGCCCCCGCCGCTCCCTTGGAAGTTGTAAGACTCGGGGATGTGGTTGAATCCCAGGCCGTTCATCATGCTGTACATGGGCTTCAGCGCCTGGCACTTGCGCCTAAAACCCCTGGGTCTCCTTCTGAAGGAGCCTTCCTCGAACATAAACTCACTAGCCGGGTCAATAGTCCAGTAGTGTCCTTTCCCCGGTCGACCGAGGCCTTTGGGCAACTTAATGAAGCACTCGTTCAGGGACAAGTTGTGACGCACGGAGTTCTTCCATCCTTGGTACGAGCCCCGAAAAAACGGGAAGCGGCTCTGTAGAAACTGATATATTTCACTGAGGGTCAGGCGTTTTGTTGGAGAGCTCTGAATAGCCATAACTATTAAAGCTATGTAGGAATAAGGTGGTTTCTCTGGTCGTCGGATCCCTGCGTTTGTCTTTTTGGTTTTCGTAGTGGAGGAGGCAGTTTCCATCACCACCGTTTGTCCGTGTGGCTTCTCCGGAGCAGACATCGGGCTGCTCTGGGCAGGAGTCTGTGCTGGGGGCTGCTGAACCTCTGCCGTCATTAGTTAAATTTAATCTTCGAGACGGAAAACAAAAACAGAATTGCTTTTCCACCTATAAAAAATAGTAAGTTAGGTACTAAATTTGTGTCATAAAGAAAAAAAATCGAATAATGATAGTGGCGATAGAGGCGAAGGCGCGATTATCTTCTTAGCTGTTGCTTTTGATTCAGTCCTGCAGCAGTCTGAAGCCGGACCGCCTTGTACGCAGTGCCCGAAATGGGATAAAGAGAAGAACAGGAGCCGCTTTCCACTTCAGTTGGTGTGTTGTCGTGCGTCCGAGGAGCTCACTTTTTACTTATCTGTTGCCATCGGCGCATTGGAAGCTGTATGTCTTGGTCATCCTAATGTTGGGACCCGCCCAGTTCCCCGATTGCCCTCCTACTCAAGTGGTGGGCTGTAAGCTTGCACATCTGTGTGCGTTCACTTTTCAGTGAAATCTTTCTTTTTCCTCCGTCCTTACACAGAAATAGAGAATATATCTCACATATAACATTTAATTTCAAGGACCCATACGCTAACATATCCCTCAGAGCACAAATAAATTCAAATGCCCGTTAATGATTTGCATAAGCTTATACTAAGTGAATGCATTAGATTCAGCATTCGGATACAGATTTTGGCTTTGCTTGTTCTCTAATACGATGTTCTTTTTAGGGTTATGATCATTTTAACACTATTTATACAACTCATATCTGTTGTTAAACCTGCAAGCAGTATCCCGCCATTGCAGGCCACATAACCCAAGAGCCACACGACTGCAGCCTTGTTATGTCTCCTTTGTAATTAAAACGATTTAAAGAAAGCTACTTTATATCACATTTTTAGTATATGGAAAACATTTACCAGAGAACATGCCCCTCATATTCAAAACCACCCTCTTGATTTCTGTAAAAGATAGACAGGAACATGGGCAGGATGTTTATACAGCAAAATGTAAACATTTTCCCTGGCCTTCTTTAAATAAAAAATCAAGCAAAAGCCCAGTTAGATCAGCTAATACTCAATCTGATGCGATATGCTTGCCTGTTCGGAGAGTCGATGCTGGACGTTTTAACACATGAATATTGTTTGTGTAATGTAGTCATAATATTTACGCGGGGACGCAAGAGGAGTGAGGTGGAAGCTCCTCCGAACTCTGAACACAGAAACTCGGACTGGGACTTGAGATCGACTTCTGCAGGCACTTCTCCATCGAATGATCGTGGAATTGAAGTAAGGTGGATTTAAGGCTTTCATTTCACAGGATTACTAGTGATGCAGCTCTTTAATCCCCACAGCAGGAGACGTAGAGTGTTCGATTTGCATTATGTTACATAATATAGGACAATTAGAAAAGTTGAGTTCAAATTTGGATCAAGCTCTGCCTTCTTGCACTAAGTGACAGTTTACTTGGAAAATGGTTGTTTTCTTTTTTTCCAACACTGAAAAACCAACTTTAAGATCGCTTTATTGCTCTCTCACAAAATTGCGAGCGAGAGCTACTGGAAGTCGAGGAGTATAGCCTGAAACTGTTGACAGTAGGTTGGTTATTGTTCCCTGGAGATCTCGATAGCTGCAGCCTGCAACCTTTTGAATTCAGTTAGATGAGCGCGTGTTTCTGCTCGCTGTCGGCGTTATTGTTTTTTAGGGGTTCGTGACTGTTGATTTTGGCACCGTGGACATAAATACGAGGAGAATATATGTATTTTGGTTCGTGCGTAAAACCAGTGTTTGACGACTCCATTGTGCGCAAAAATCCTGTAATCTTTTCAAGGAGTTCCGTTTGAGGTGACACATTTTAATCAAACTCAGTGTATAAGTAAAATATCGCGCGGTTTATTAATGTTCCTACTGATTAAATTCCCCAGTGCCAAAACATAAGCGGGCGGTTTTCTTTTGTTCCAAGTAGTTTGCCCAAAGGGAAATCGAGAAAACAATTCTCTGTAAAAAAACAAAAAATCATTGTCAGCCCAAAGGTGATAGCTGTGCCAAGGTTAGATTTTACTGTTGCAGAGGAGATTTAGAACCACGGATAAGTGAATGTAAGTATTGTTTTAACCAGTGCCTGTTCGGCCAATCGCCTGAAGTGAGGGCCACACATTTATCAGCATAGCAGACCACCCAGCGCGCACCAGGGGCAGGCGCGCTCCCGTCCTCTTTCTGCCCACTGCATTTAATTACCGCTGATGACTTCATACCATTCTTTGTCTCACGCTCTTCAGAGTCAGGTTATTTGCAAATATATCTATATATACAAAAGCATTTATATAGCTGAGGGGATATGTCTCTTGTGTTTAAGAAGAAATTATCTGTTTGATGGCCTCTGCTGCGTATTCACACGGTGCAAAGTTATATATTTTCATAATGGAGAAATCGATTAAAGGTATTATTCACCCTCAGAATATCACATAGTACAAGCAGTACAAGAATACAGGAATATTATACAGTACAAGTACAAGAAATGTCCTTTTTTGTATGTAATGGAAACAGCGATTTTTGAAAATCTTTTTGCCCCCTCCTATGGACAGGTATGCAAACACACACACACACACACAGACACACACACACACACACACACACACACACACACACACACACACACACACACACACAAAACTGCCTAAAAGGTGGCATATTATGTTCATCATCACTGGGGCTGGAGATCCGAGGTCAGAACCTCCCCTTTGCTGTGTCGCAGACGAAGTCATGCACTTTTCCGTGACGTCGCATCTTGAAATATTTGACAGCGCTGCATCCTCAGGAATGCTTGTCCACTTAGGTGGAGGTACACCGCAGAGCGCACAGTACTGACAGGCTTTCCGGGTCGCTTCACTAGTATTTACTGAAACAGATTTTCGGTTGATCGCGTTGTTACGATAATCTGCTGACCTGTACGTAGACATTTTTTGTTTGTCACATTCTTACTTAAGAGAGCCTACTTTTCATAGGATCACACCTATGATAGATAATAATAATAATAATGAAAAAAAAACTATGTATGTATATAAAATGTAATTATTTTCCAATTCAGTCTAAGCAGCATTGCCATGTTCTTCAGCTCAGTCTTGCCACTGCGCACAAAATAAAAAAACAGAAACTTACTGATATCTGTTATTACGTGATTAAATGATAAAATGAGGTGCCGTGATCATCTAAGAAAGACTTGACATTATAAAGTTAGAAATAATTTCCTTGTCACGAGTATTACATTATGCCTACACCTGGCGGATCACAGATTTAAAAGAAGCGGAAGCTATGATCTTAATTTGATTTGGACTCTGAACAAAATACAAGCTCGGCGAGATTAGGCCTAAGGTGGAGAGAGACTCTCAAAATATTAGGTGCAATAACTTGGTTAAATGTTTCTTTCTTTAACTAATAAACCGTTTACCTCTTTAATGGTAAAGGAGGGTCACAGAGAGGCCGCAGGGACTTGTTTCAAGGAGTGTATGACAAGTAATCGATCAACTGGCTGTAAATTCGACCGACTTGAACTTGAAATAAGTTTATAGGCAAAAATTTCTAATACATTTTTATTTTATAAACAGTACTTGAAAACGGGAATAAGATATGGATAGCAAAAAAACCGAACAAAAAAACACATGAATAAATGTTTCCATTAATGTCGTTTGTTTGACCTAAACTGACTGCAAATCTGAGAAAGAAAAACACATTTTTAATTATTATGAGCTCGAATCAACACATAAAAAATAAGATCTAACCTCAGTCTCTCAGGGAGCTGAAATCAATTAACAAAGACATGAATGGCTGTTAATAAGAGAATCTGGTTCAGAGTTTGAATTATCGTATTTTTTAACGACATAGGTTTTTCTCTTTACTTTTTATTCTCACACCCATTTTATTTTTACGTGTTCTACAGAACTGAAATGTCAGCAACTCTTTAAATGCACAAATAGTGCCGAGCTCTCAGTTTTGCACACAAATGCTCGAGAAAAATGTAGAAAATAAAAGTGTTTATCTCGCATTTATAAGAATTCTGATAAATATTTAATGCTTTATTGACTAACATTAATAACCCAAATAAAAAAAGTAATCCGATTGAAATGTTATTCATATATATGTGGTTATGATGGGTTTTTTTTTAAACATTTTTAAACAATTTGTATTCTTAACTGTGTAAGATGGGTTTCTGGCTCTTTGCTTCTGCAGTGTCGCCTGTAGTTCACTCAGCATTGTCACTTTAATTAAAAACAGTGTGTCCTAATGTCGGAGTGGGCACCCCCTCATCACTTTCCCTGCGCTGTAGGTGGTCGTGTATATTTTCGTTTAAGTGGTGTTTATGTGATCGAGAAGGGACGGGATTGCTAGCAGACCGCTGATTGCGCGCGTTGGGCCACTATGTGGATTTGAAGTGTATTTGATGGGCACTGCCGTCTCCAGTAATCAGCTGCTGCAGAAATGGCTTTATGATCATTTAATTTTCCAGATAAGATATCGGTACTACAAAGAAAAGTAGTTACCTCTAATCTGCTCATCAAGACATGTTTTCAATATTTTTTCTAACCTCATCAATTCTGACAGAGATGTCCACAACTTTTATAGAAATGTTTGATTTTGCTCAAATTAAAAGGATGCACACAATCGCGCTTCCGTAGGTCCCTAGAGTATGACACTGAGCCGAAGTTACTTATATGAGCACTACTGACAAATCAAAGGATAACTCAATGTTTCCAGCCTGTGCGTCATGCTGAAGATATCGGAGTCTGATGGATATAAAAATGTGTAAGTAAATCTTATCTCAGTTAATTTGTGTTACCTTTCCCTCCAAAAAGGGAGGGGAGGATTTATTTAATCAGAAAATTAAATTTTACAGTGCAATCATTTTAATTGGAATTCGTGGAAGAGTGTGGAAACACAGCCTTGCTTAGTTGTTTTAAGTTTCCCATCGGTTACATTCTGGTGTCACGTCTCACATAGAGACATACAGCCACCTGCCTGCATCCGCCTCACACCCGCACTAATAGCTGTGTTGTTATCAATTCCTTCGATTCAGCTTTATTTCTGTAGCGCCACATCACAACACGATTTATCTAAGGGCATTCTAGCAAAATAATAACCTTCTATTGTCATGGAAGGTCCCCTGCAGAAAAAAAAATTCCTGCAGGACTAGAAGCGCAGAGAGGGGAGCATTAAAGGGGGAGAGCAGAGACAAAAAGATCAACTCGGAGAAACAGCAGACAATAAACATTGAGTAGGTTGGTCAGGTCAGTGACCTTATCCTTAGACTTAAACTGACAGCTGGGAGTCCTCCATAGAGATAATAATACCGTACAGCATGAATTCAGATTGAAACCATGAACTGAATGAATTTGTTTTAGTTAAATTAACCCCAGGCATCGTTAGAATATCTTATACTATAACTGTAAAATTAGTACTAGAGTCCTTTAAGCTTTTGGTCATCTGGTAATTCATTTTAGATTTATATGTTGGATAAAGGAGCATTTTTTTTCTTTTTTTTGTCATTATCAGTTAACAGATAAAGAGGTTATCATACCAAAGTATGAGTCATTGGTTTAAAAAAACGCTATTGTGAGAACCCCAGGCTGCTCAGCGACACTTCACACGCCTTCCCGCAACTGTCCCTGGTGTGCCATATTGTCAAATTATAGACAGCCCACTCCCACTCCTGTTTTCTTTCTTTTTCTTCTAGATTCACTTGTTTGTCACATGTAAAAGCAAATTTGACCCTGTTTTTTAAATTTTTTTTAAATTGTCTTCTTTCGACATCCTCATGTCGAAGCATTCCTTTCAGACAATGAAAAAACAAGCATGAAAGCATATGTAAAATTCTTTCTGGTTTATTTTGTGATTATAAGCAGTACCACATAATTTGACATGAAGGACAGCAGTGGGGAGAATTTGGCAGGTCCGGAGCTTTCACAAATTCCTGACTTTCCAAATGTGGTTAGTACTTGTAGGGAAAATGCTTCATAATTTTATATACCTGTATATAGCAGCAAACTGGTGTTTCGGTAAGTTTGTAACTTTTTGGATGTGTGTGTGTTTAAAAAGGAAGTCAAAAGGGCAGAATTCAAAGGAAAGAGAAAAATATTATTTAAAAATGTATATTGCATACAATAGACACACAATATACATTTTATTTACAAAGTTAAAGCATTCATGGTACGTTTTTTTAATGGCTCAGTGGCTGTTTTCATATTTAGTTCTGTATTAACGCAATTTCTCTTATAAAAATATTTCACAATGTTCCTTAATATAGTCAATTTTCAATGATTTTCATGCATTATTTTTTAAATAATATTTTATTTTGGTTTCTTGAAAACATTATAATCAAAAGTTTAATTACAAAAACAATACATTGCAAAGCTTGTCAGAGTAATAGTAAGATTGGCTATTTTGGTGAATAAGAGATGATTAAAGCAGCAGTTACACTAGCAAAATATTGAATGACAGCATGTGATATTTCTCAAAGTTTCCGGTTTCCCTCAGTGGGAGTGATGGTGTGTGGTCTTCATATTTGTTTACTTTCCTTTTAGTAAAGCTTTATTTAAATGCGTAGAATATTTAAACTAGGACATACTTGTCGTCATCATGCATGAGTGTTCCTCAATAGTTCTGTTTTTTTGCATTTAAGTTCATTTAGGGCTCAGTGTGATTCATCCAAAGCTGCTTTGTGTGTTAATTAACTTTTATTCATGATAAAAGTATCTATTTGATTCAAAGCCTTGATTAAACGCATTATACTTGAGGCAGTATGAACTTTTGTTTCTTGTGTGACATTATCTGGTGGATTTTTTAAAAGTCGCTGCACATCGTTTTGTGCTCAACATAAAAATGACATTTTTTTAGATGCTTTCCTGCATCACGGCCTTACTATTTCTCTCTCTCCCTCTATTTTTTAAAAAAAGAAAAGACTCAATCCCACACAGTGAGTTCGAGTCTGTTTGGTGCCCCACCCTGGAGTCCTGCACACCTCCCAGGGCCGGTCCATCATGGTCTGTCTAATGCAGGCAAAGACATCAATAATGAGAGCTGAAGCAGAAACCACAGCGGAGAACACAAAAGAGAGAGGGAGGGCGCACACAGGCCACAATTGGCTCTGCTGCAGGTTAGCTTCTTTGATATTGCCTTGATTTCAGTTTGATGGGTGCACATGGGGCGACATGGGTTTATACGTATGTGTTTACATAATATGTATGGTGTTTACGCACAGCCCACCGACTCTTTTTTTCTTTACTCTGAAGGGGGATTTTCCTGTGGCAAGCGGCTTCGGAAAAAGCAATTAAGAATTCCCAAACAGTACACCACAATGGGAGATATCGTTTGTGCAATGTGTGTTCCATGTCCCTCACAGTTTTTGTCTGGAATGGGTTGACTATTTTTAATCTGCACATAACCGAATCCACCTACAGACAAACCACAAATTGAATGAAGGGGAGGGGGATGAGTGGGCACTGTAATTGCCTATTGTGGAGCTCAAACTCCTCTGTTCTGCCATAAACAGCTTTTGGTAGTTCACAACTTGATACCCAGTGCTCTTGAAATGAGGGCATATCCTTGTCGTCTGTGGGAACCCATTGCCAGGCAGTGGTTGGAATCAGTCAGGAATGCTTTGGGATGGTAACTGGATTCAGTTGTAATGCCCAGCTCTCCACAGCGGAACACTAGGGTGGGAAAAAGGCCGGGAGCATTTCCTGAGTGGAGGGGGGTCCCAGCGAAGCATCACGCGCATGGGCATCATGTGACAGAGACCCTGCCAGGTTTAGGCTGTGATCCCAAGTGAAGAGAGGAGTAGAGATGAGTACACCCGTTAGGAGAGGTGTGGTTGGTGCGGTAGGCAGTGCCAGGGAAATAAATGAGAGGACAGGGAGAGGCTGGAATGAAGAAAGAAGCTTAAATATTGTAAGTGCAATGTAGTGTAACCCCTGAAGGACTAGTCAAGAGCTCAATAAGAGAAGGGGGTAAATTGGTGGCATCTGTCTGAATTATTTATTTATTTATTGTGAAAAATGTGAATTAATTTGTTAAATAGCCTTTTTAAATTGTTAGAAATTATTTAGAGATTCATTTTTTGTGTTGAATTTTTGTATTTGTTTAGGTTCGCCTTCATTCATGTTTTGAGTTTAGCTGCTCACAAAATATGCAAAACAACAGTAATGTTTCATACAGCCAAATCAAATAAAGAAGCTCCTCCCTTATTCAGATGGGGTCACCACAGTGGGTAGCTCCACGTGTTTGATTTGGCAGGTTTTATACAGCGGAGGCTTTCCTGATGCAATTCCTAAGGGATTTGTGTCTCTTCCCAGGTCAAGCAGGGATCTTTTTCTTGTTGGGCAAATGTGTAGATCACTGTGCTATGGAGAAGTTTGTAATTTTTTAAAACTGTGTACACAGCAGGGAGGTTTTAACAGCCTCATTGGCTCACCACCAGAAGTTTTGCATTTAATGAGAGGAAGCGTGCTTGAAAAGAAAGTGTCTATGATTTCAAAATGACCAGGTTATTAACAAACAAGTGTCCTCAGCACACTGCAAATCACTGCCCAAGTCTCCAAGGGGCAATGGCATCAGATTCGGTAAATTTTGGTACATCTGTTCACAATAAAAGGCCATGATCGCCTCTGAGTTTTTTAACTGTAAAAAATGAATGCAGTCCAACTATTTATTTATCTTTTGAAATTTAACCTCAGTGGAGACCACTATAAAGTGTGTGTCTGTGTGTGAAGGCAGATGCCTGTGTGTTTTGATTTGACTAAGTTATTGCTCTGAGATGAAGGGGGTGTGACCTATGTGGCAATCTGTGCAAATTGTGTGACAGAAAAACACAACAGAACAAATATTGTTGCACAAGAAAAAAAAAAAAAGAAAGAAAAGGAAAAAAATAGCAGTTTGTTTGTTCATTTCCCTTCCTGAATTTGATAATGCTTTCATCTCCAAACTCAACTGCAACAAACCACATTTTAAAGCCACTATAACGAAGCCAACAGATGTTATTTTAACAGTGTTTGTTTAAGCTCAACGCACCACTTACATGTTCGTTTGGACTTGAGAAAAATAAGAGTGTGAATCCGTCCATCCGTCTGGCTCTGTGTCTGCTTTTCTGCGCAGTCAGTGGCTGCATCATTGTTGTTTTTACATGCTTCTTGCAGCTGCCTATGCCACTGATACATGTATTCATGTATCAGTGTATACGAGAGTCTCGCTGACTATTGGTGTGTATATGTGTCCAGCCTGGTGCTGGCAACCAGACATTGCTCTCTTTGGCTTGTGTAAATGTTGTGGTGATCTTGGGAAGAATCTTACCTTATGGTTGTCAAAGGGCTTTTTATTTCCACCTGCTACCGGCCTCTTTCCGCTGGTCTGCTCTATAACAATGGTACTGCGAAAGCTGCGGAGTTTAAAGTGATTTATGTTAGACTGTATTTGGCCCTTCTTCAGATTGGGGCCTGAAAGGAAGTGGCTATCCCTCCCTTCCACCTTAAATACCCTGCAGGCTTCAAGGGCTGATCAGGACTTTCTTAGGCATCTCATTTTAACAAAGTGCCAATGTGCTCAAAAGACTAGCTGGCAGGTGCAGATAAACAATGTTTTCAAGACTTATAAGTCAATTTACCAGCACATAAAACACAATGTAGTTCATTTCTGCGATACACTCAAACCCAGATTTAGCCCCTCCATCCTTTCTCTAGCCATCACTCTTTTTTCTGGTCCTGTCATGGGGGAACGAGATACAGCCTCATCCCCACTGCATTCTTTCCATTTTGCTGAAGAGGAGCGTGGCAGAGAAGGCAATCTATCACCCAAACTGTCCGTCCATCTCTCTCCCTAACTGTGTTTCTCTTTCTCCTTCCTCTAGGCTAGAGTGGGCAGGCATGCGGCTTTGGCCACAGGAAGCTGTGAATTCTTTGGAGAATGGAAGATGTCTGATGGAGAGACATACTGGCCCTCCACCCACCCACTCACCACCTCAAAATGACCCCTGACCCTTTTCATGTGTTTATATCAGACCGTGGAAGTGAGAAATAGTGATGAGTCACTCTGGCTGTGTGTTTACACTCTGGAGTCACGCAAGGAAGGAAATCAGCCACGGTCTGCTAAAAGTGGCGAGGTGAGAGAGAATAGCTGCAGTCCCGAGTGCTGCAGTGATTTACCTCAGAGCCAGAATTTGCTTCGTGTCATCTCTGCTGTGAAAACTTTCAACCTGCAGAAAAGCACAGTAGACCTTTGTGGAAGAAAAGGGCCAAAACAAGTAGTAGTCACTGGGGATAGGTGTGCGTATGAGAGAGAGATACGGCATATTTCAGGAAACATAACAGTTAGAATAAGTAAGATAATTATTTCAGCAGAATGCATCTCATCGAGATGTTACAGAGTTCTTAATATGTTGGACTTTTGTGTTCTGTTAGAGATGACCACGTTTAATTTAATTGCACTTTAATCATTCTCACACCTCACTGTGTTTAAACGAAAACCTACACTCGCACACATTCACTTTGTTTTTAAGAAGAGCTGTTTTTAAAACTCATCACTGCACATTTAACTGTGTTATTCATCTTTCACAAATATTTTTTTAGGAGTATTAAATAACTAACTAAAACTGCTATTACACTTTCACCTGGCATTGTTTTGAACCAGGAGTTTATGCGATTGAGTTTTTGCAGTCGATGATTTTCAAAAGAAAAAACAAAGCAGCAAACATTTGAAAACCCTTAATTACTTTGCAGCATATTTTAACATTTTACTTGAATATTTCAAATGATCTCACCCTCCTAATTGTCTCCAGGTTGGACAATATCCCAAAAAATTATAAGATTATTAAAATACTTGATGTATAAATGTGATTTCTTTTATTTTTAAAAGCAAAGCAGATTACATGAAAGCAAAAAAGAGTCCATTCTAATGACTACAGCGATATACGGGTGTGAAAATATTTCATAAAAGTACAAAGTTAGCCGGGTTTCTGGGTGACATATTTTTACTGATATGCATAAAACAATTGAAATCTGAAATGTAAATTTCTGGTGGAAGACAAACATAACACTGTTCGCTGGTCTTACTTCATCATTGCCATCAAAACCAGTTGTGTTGTGCTCAGGAAGCCTTTATGTTCAGTGTACTGTAAGGTGTGTTTACTGTGGCTTCCACCAGTGTTTCAACCACAGTGTCATTGTTGTCCTCCACTGTGCGTGACTTTAGCTTTTAAATTGCACAACTGTTGTTTGCGAGACAGAGCTGTAGTTACTGCCGCTGTGCTCTGTAAATAAAAAGTGACACTTTATTTCTTCCTGTCATTGCACTGGTGCAAGTACCTTCATTGCTGACTGCACCGCATATCCTTTTACACACCCCCGTACACACCGCCACAATGAGAGAGTCAGCAGCTCTTATTTTGGCCGATCTCTCCTGAATTGTAAGTCCTGTCAGGGGTTTTGATTGATAGTTGCATTTATCACCATATTATTAAGTAATCAGGCTCACCACAGCTGGGCCTGAAGCTCCTTAATTCTAGCTAAAGTACACAACTTCATGCTAATTAAAGGTTTGGTAAACCTGTTTATTTTCGTGAATTTTTAGAATATAGTTGTGTGTGTTATTATGTGTTTTAAGTGTGCTGATTATTGCATTTGTATGCTCTCAGGAACATTTAGAGCCAAGCTTTACTGCTTCATGTTCATAAGAAAAACTGTGAATAATCACATGTGGAGAGAAATAATTCATGCTTCATATGCTGCATGTAGAACGTAGAATATTCTGCATTAGTAAAAAAAATATCTACAAAATGACTACGAGGGAATGAGACTAAATTCTGTAAATAACACAAGAGGGTGAAGCAGTCTGTGTTCTGTGGATCAGGAGAGGTTTGGTCTCGTTTTCTTAATAGAGCCTGCAGTGAGCTGCATTTGTGTATTCCTGAGGTAAACACAGTCATGGCAAAGTGGACGCGCTGCTGAGTGTGTCCTGACTGGAGACAGAGAGCACTGTGGCACTGTACTTTCTGAGACGCTGGCAGCTCTCTCGAGGTAGGGTTAATTTGATGAATGGCCATTTGCTAATGGGCCATGTATTAGGGTGAAAAAGCTCCTTTAAAAGCCATAGTTTGAGTCGTTTCTATGGGCAATTTGATTTAGGAATCAATCAAGTGGCAGATGTTCCATGTTGCATCAGTCAACTTTGTCCTATACGCTTGCTTTTTACTTGATATGAATTGCTTGAATGACTGTGTGCAGTAATCAAAGCAGAACATAATTTCATATAAGTTAAAACATCAGTGAGGCCATACCTTGATTTTAAAAAGCAATTCGTTTTAGCTATTGTATATGTAAACTGAATAATGTTAAAAATGAAATATATAATCTTATTTTTTCTTTACCACCTCCTTAAGACTTTAGTACTTGCAGCGTTAAGTTGTCCACAGGGAAGAAACGCAAGCTGGAGTTCCAATAAAGTTAATTTATGTTTTCTGTATATTCTGAATTTTTTTTGTGCAGTAAGCTAAATACCTAAAGTGGAAAGACTGACAAATATATATACATAAAGATTTCGTTGTACTTATCTGCAATAACAGTAAAAAGCTTTGTTCTTTTTTGTCTCTTTAATGCAGATTGTGTGTGTGTGTGTGTGTGTGTGTGTGTGTGTCGCAAAACTGTAATAATAGTGACACTAATAATTATATATAAAAATATTAAACCTATGGCTGCTGGTGTTTGTGTAATAATTGATCCCGTATTTGTTACTATGCTTCTGTTTTTATATGTTTTATGAAAAAAAACTGAACGGCTATTTTGCAAAAATTGACAAAGTTTCCATGTTTTCACCAATAAATGTCCAATTTCTGCACAAACTTGAAATGCTGGTTGTGCATTTTTGATATTTACCCTCCTTTCTCTACTTACAAAATCCACACATGAACAGACGACTAAATAAGACCTACTAATGGTGAACTGCAAGGCAAAACTTCAGTCAATAGCTTCTTTTTTTTCTACATACGGTAATCTTTTGCGTATGAAACCACTTAATCAGAGTTAAATTTAGCATTAGAGCCAAATTCAAGTGAACAACCACTTAAAGACCTTATGATGACTTCTCTGGTTTTCTGTGGTAGGGTGTAGCGCACATATGATAAACATTGCCAGATACAAATTCAGAAATATTGAAGCTGCTGGTGGTCCTCATTTTTATTTATGTTAACTTTTTTCCCCAAAGAATTGTAGGTAGGTCAGTGTTTGTACTGTCCAGTTTTCCAGCTAAGTAGACCTTGCAACTGAATGACACTTGATCAATAAATAATAGCACTGCTTATCCGTGATATACAACAGGCTCGAGCGCTTGTGTTGTCTGTGACCTTGGACCTAAGTTTGGCTAAAAGCAGATTCACGCTGGCTTATCAGTGTTTCTGCAGAGGTCGTGTGAATCAGAAGAGCTCAGACATTCTTAAAATATATATTTTGAATACTGAAAAAAGTAGAAATGATCAGATGGATTGTAGTTGTACCACTGAAATTAAAGCCGTTCAGCAGGAATCTTGAACATGTCTTTTTCATTGGTGAATATGTGTCAGTAATGAAGTGCAGAACTAGTTTTATAGCATTATCTAGTTTAAAGCAACAAATACTCTGCAGTGTTTATCTAAAAATCACACTGTAGTGGATTGTACTTACAATCACTTCTGTCCTTAATATTAAGCAGAGAGTGACAGACACTCAAGATGTTAATTTTCCAGGAGGCCATGTGCCATTTCTCCATGTCCAAAACGCTTTATCTCAGGTGTTGGTAAGGACAGACTGAGAGACAGACAGCCACATGGTTCTACTTTTGCCTGCTAATTCCAGGGAATCAATCCTAAATGACACCTATGGGATACACAGAGTGGATTTCTCTCTGATGCAGATTGGTGGTGGTTTGCAGATGAAAGACAGTAAAATAAATAAAGTTGTGGCAAGCAGGCAGAACTCTTCTGTCCACACAGTACAACCATAATGGGATACATGCTGACATGCGGGAAGAAGTGGAGGCCTGCTCCTGTTTTCACCGCTGTTGCCATGGAAATGCTGATGGACTGCTGCTGCTTGTCCTAAATATCTCTGTTGACATTTGTTTTGAAAAACATTCTGTTTTTCGCTTTCAAAGGGTCGGAGAAAGTTACCAAACAAGTAGAATAATAGTGATTAGCAGAAGGCAGCTCTGTTTGCCGTTAACCTCTCAGCTTGCTGGTACTCTTTTAATCCTAAAACACGTCATTAAATCAAACTCAGCAGTATCAAATGGCTTTTTAACCTCCCCTAATTAATCTTTTCATCAGCTGCTGTGTCTGCGGTTGGCCTGAAGTAAGAATGGTAATGGTAAGGCAATCCTTGCTTGACTCATCCAGGCTGGGATCATACATGATACTCCTACAAGTTACTCCAACCTGCTTTTCCCCCCTGGTGCCAATACAAATTCATTGTGTTGCACAATACAGGACATTTCACTCTTGTTGGGGTTTTTTTGCATCTCTATTTGAGCATGGCTTAAATTCAATTCCTACTGCTTATTTTGCTTATGTTGAACTGTATTTGTACTTATTGTACTTGGTCTGCTGAAGGGGAAAGTGTGTGCTCAATGCAATGGCTGTATATATAGGACTGTTTTGTGAACCATTTTGAAACCAGTCACCGTTCCATATGCAAATAGCATATATTATATCATGTAAAAATCTGCAGCCTCCAGTATGCATATGTTGAGAATGGACTTTTCAGAGACGTCAGACCTCTTCAACATCTACTTATTTATGCTATGATGACAAAGAACTAGAAGAGGCAACATTTAAAAACATCTGTCTAGGTAATTGCAAATTCTTGTGAGGAAAAAAAGCCATTTTAATTCAAGCCAAGCCAACTTGGGGGATTTTTATAGAACTTCATATGTGTCCATGGGGAATCTTTAAAACTGAAATGGACTCATTAAAAAGGTAGAAGCAGTTACACAAATGTCCCTCTTATTGGCTCAATAATTAGCAGCAAATAGCCTGCAGATAACAGAGGGGCATTATCAAGTTTTTGTCACTGGTGCCACTGAAGTGATTTATTCAGATTCTGGTCAACTCCCGTCTGATGCACTTTAACAAATCACAGCCTGGGGACTAGCAACCCCCCACCCCACTCACCTCTGTCTCCCTCTGACCCCCACACACTCACAGTGACAAGGTCTAACACTGCTATCACCCAAAGTCAAGCCATCCTACACTTCAGGCAAAAAAAAAGAAAAAAAAAGAAAACAGTAATGAGACTGTTATCTTTGGAAAAGTGATGTAAAAGCTGTGTCACAATGCTAAAATTGTTACCT